TGGCATACAGAGGGGCACATGGTTCTATTATTTGGCTATCAGTTTTGTGTGATCAGCACAAAAATGATGTTTCCAAATATGAGATTTCATGTGGTGAGATGCCACCTTTAGGTCCAACAAGCCCACAATGCCCAAAGAGAGGCCATATGTAACTTGTAGTATTTCCTGACTCCAAGATAGAATTGCACTATTGTAAAGACTCAACATCTCCTTGAAAGCAGAAAGTACAAAAATGGGCCCTATCCCATTTTTTCAGTTGGCCAATACCAGTGCAGGCCAGAGTGCATGTCCTTGCATTTAGGCTGGAAGATTGGATGCATTGTTTGCTCTTGGAACTATTTTATTTCTCCCCTTGCTGGATTATTATTGTTGTTGTTGACCTTATGCTATTTCTTGATTGTTTTATGCTGGTTTCAAGCTGTGTTTTGTACTGGTTACAGTTTTCGTATTGCTTCTGTATTTTGCTGATTTTAAAATTTGTAAGCCAGACATTCATTGGGCAGAATATACATGACTCGATCAATAACTATAATAGTAGTAAGTGGGTATCCATGTTCTCAAGGAGAAATCTTTCCCAGACTTGCTACATGGAGACCTTCCGCTGAAGAGGCTAGGGACTAAACCTGCCATTCTTTGAATGCTTTAAAAATGTGCAGTAGTGTAATCTATCCTTTACGCCCATTTCACAGTAGTGCATTTCAGAGGGGTCTGCTCCACTTCCTTCCATGCACAGGGAAAACCTCCAGTTTGAACCTACAGACCCCCAGCAAATAAAACTAGAAAATCCCAATAAAGCCTTAAGTATGCAATTCTACATGGGACGCGGGTGGCGCTGTGGGTTAAACCACAGAGCCTAGGACTTGCTGATCAGAAGGTCGTGGTTCGAATCCCAGCGATGGGGTGAGCTCCTGTTGCTCGGTCCCTGCTCCTGCCCACTTAGCAGTTCAAAAGCACGTCAAAGTGCAAGTAGATAAATAGGTACCGCTCTGGCGGGAAGGTAAACGGTGTTTCCGTGCGCTGCTCTGGTTCGCCAGAAGCGGCTTAGTCATGCTGGCCACATGATCCCTCGGCCAATAAAGCGAGATGAGCACCACAACCCCAGAGTCGGCCGCGACTGGACCTAATGGTCAGGGGTCCTTATGCAATTCTACAGGGCTTCTTTCCAAGTTGAATTTCTCTTGGGGCAGACAGATTTTTCTAGCATTTGACATTTGGAGTATAAATCCAATCAATCAATAAGGTACAGTTATCCAGACTCCTTGCTAGTTTATTTGTGTTCTTTGGGTAATTTATATACTGCTCCACATTTCAAAGAAATCTCTGAGTGGTTTACAACATCATAAAAACGTCACAAATGAGTACAAAAGTTACAATAAAAATGCCATATTGTTTAGCAGCACAAAACAACTGGGCAATCTATCCTTTTAAAACAGCAATATAAACTGAAACAGCTAGCATACAGAGACCATAATAACTACACTGGGGAACAAAAATTTTGTTGCATTGACACCTGCAGTTGTTCTAACCTAATTTTGACGTGCTGATTTCATATCTAAAGTTGGTTATGTTCTGTAAGCTCTAGGTTTTTTTGCAATTCATGTTTTTCACTTTTCACCATAATCTTTGTTTTTCACAATGCAAGAATTCAATATTTTATTAAACACATAGCCAAAGTAGTACGATATGAGTATAAATGTAAGTGACTTATATAGCATTGAACATGACATGTATATCTATGTACAGTTGGAGGCATGCAAAAAAACGGACTGTATTCCCTTGGAATACACAGTATACTGGGGAACAATTTTTTTTCCCATTTCCTTTTGCATGAGATTTTTCAACTGTTCTTATATGTTCTTTCAATGCTGATTTCAAATCTGAAATCGATTTTCGTGTACATGCTATAGTTAACTTTCAATTTCCGACTTTTGCCGTTATGTCATAATTACACTGGGGATAAGTGGACACTGACACGTTGATCTACCCTAACCACATGGTAATTATTGTTTTGCAAACTTAATTTTTCTTTATTTTTAACAGTTTTGTAAAAATCCATTGCTGGTGAAGTGCTGCTGTCATTGGTGCTGCTTTAGGGGCAAGTTCCTGCTGATACTGGGTGAAATTTCGCCCCCAAATCCCATGAGATCCTCGGCACTCCACAAAATCGCATGCAATTTTGGGTGAGATCTCACCCAACAGGGACAGGATCTTGCCCCAATTGGCACCAGTGGTGATACTACTTCTCTGCCACAGGTGACAAGGCTGGCGGGGGACCTATGGGCATGCTGCCCAATTGTCTTCTGCCACCTGAGGCAACAGCTTCACCCTGCCTAATGACTAGTCCTAACCCTCACTGACACAGAAGAGATGTGAGATGTGAGCTGTTCTGCAGTCCCTTAAGGTGGACTTCTTGTGGCATGTGTTGGGATACTGCCAGGGAGATAGGGGCATCAGGCAGGCCCCCAGCTGGCTCCAGACGATCACTGGTCTCCCGTGGAACAGCATCAGTCAATTAGCGACACAAGCCTCAGATACGTTCCAAGACCCGTGCACACTCTGTCAGCAGAGTGTATAAATCATCCACAATGGAAGAGGCAGACAGAGAGAGCATATTTACAGCTTTATTCAGTGTAGTTCAGGAACAAAGGAAAACATGGCTGACTGCCTTCATGTCCAGCGAAACAGCCGCATAGCAAAAGCAACATACAGTGGTACCTTGGGTTAAGTACTTAATTCGTTCCGGAGGTCTGTTCTTAACCTGAAACTGTTCTTAACCTGAAGCACCACTTTAGCTAATGGGGCTTCCTGCTGCCGCCGTGTCGCCAGAGCACGATTTCTGTTCTCATCCTGAAGCAAAGTTCTTAACCTGAGGTACTATTTCTGGGTTACCGGAGTCTGTAACCTGAAGCGTCTGTAACCTGAAGCGTATGTAACCCGAGGTACCACTGTACATGATTTAACTTGAGAAAATAGCATACAATACCGGGCTAGCACTCAAGCTTTTTTTAAAAAAAAACCAAAAAAAACAAAGCTTAGCTAGGTGATGTGGTGGGGGAACCAAAAACATGTTTTCTTTTTTTAAAAAAAATGTGTTATTAATAAAAATAGCTGCTGAAGCTTGGTTCACAATGCAACATAATACACAGCGCGGCCTTGATTAGTTTTCATGTGGTAGACACAGTGAGAAGGCTATTAATAAGAAGCTTATATCAAGCACAGAAGCAGTGTAGAACCTGGCAGTGTATCAGGTTTCTGCTTTCACATTGCTCCAAATGAAGAAATTCATCTCCAATTAGGACACTGAAAGAGGACCCTGTGTTGCATAAAATTTCCTTGTGTTAACTTGTGTGTGTGCGCACACAAATCTCAAAATAATTTCTATAATGCAGCAGGTGGACTTTGTCGTGCTCATCCCATCGTTCCATCAGCACAAGCATTGTAGCTTACCAGATGGAACCATCTCCCCTTTCCTCTCCCCAGCTGTTGTTCTGGGGCTCACCTGACCCTGAGCCAATATTGGGGAGCATGGAGGGGGATATGGGGAGAAGAGAGAGCGTAAGCCCTGCAGAGGTGGAATTAGAGCCTCACAACCAGTTCTGCAGCACTGGGCGCCAAAACTAGGGGGCACTGCAGGCCATCACAATGATGACATGGTGAATTGAGCAGAAGGGAAGGCAGGGGGCAGGGGGCACTAAATTTTGGTCTTGCACAGGGCACCGCCTGAAATCTGAAAGATCCAAGCCCTGGTAAGCAAGTGGAGGTCCTTATGCAGGGCTTCTCCTGATGGAGCCAATCCCACCTTGTTCATCCAACCCTAGTGGGGAAGGGCATAGTTGTGTTCACAGTCCCCACTTCACTCTGGAGAGGTAATGTAAACACACCTGTGCACCTTTCTCAGTCTGCTCTCCTGATGCCCCTGCTCTCCCTTCTATTGGTGCGTGATCTATAAGCCATACTTTATGTTATGTATTCAGTGGTCTGTGTTTGCCTCAGCTTGCGTCTGCACTAAGGATTCTGAGCTCCTGTGTTCTGATTTGATACATGTTGTCCAATCACAGAACATTTCAGGATTTGGGCCTCTGCCATTGGGCCTTGAACTCTGTGTCGTGATTCGCAGTTTGGAAGTTTAGACAGCCAATCACGTTGGGAGTGGGAGTGGCCCAGGCTTTCAGAAATGTATTTAAGCAGTTGCTTTGCCTCTGTTTCCCAGTTATGTAGCTCAATAAAGGTATTTGCATGTTATCACTGTCTTGCCTTGTGGGAACCCATCTACACTTCACTTTAACTCTGGAAAGTGTACAAAATATCCATCCCAAAGGAACCCACTCTTCATTTCTGCCACTGCCTTCCTGATTGGAAGGGGGGAAATCCCAGAGTGCTGGCTCACACAGAAATGGGATGGGATGACTCCTCAAAGGGTAGGTGGTTCTGCTTTGGCTTTGCAACCGTGGAGACCCGAAACTGAACAAGAAAGAAAGTTTCTGAATTTAAACTACTTTGCAGCTTTCCAGCAAGTCCCTTGCAACAAGTCCCGTATTTTTCGCTCTATAACACGCACCAGACCATAACACGCACGTAGTTTTTAGAGGAGGAAAACAATAAAAAAAAAAAATCTAAACGAAACAGTGGATGTATGATTTTTGTGGTTCATGCTGTGGCCACAGACATGTGATCTGACAGTGAGTTTGGAGTAGCCCAATGCAAAAATCCTGAGGATCCATGTGGATCCATGCTTTGTAACCACGTTTTTGCACCACTGCGACCCCAGGCAACAGTGGGTGCGTGATTTTTTTGGTGCAAGATGTAGCTATGGACATGCTATGTGATCTGATGGTGAATTTGGGGTGACCCAGTGCAAAAATCCTGAGGATCCATGTGGATCCGTGCTTTGTAACCACGTTTTAAGTGTGGAGGGAAGGAAAAGCACTCAAGGGACAAGGAGCACGCATGGGGTGTGTGGAGAAGGATGCTGCTAATAATGCTATTTAGCGAGCTGAGTGGGGAGGAGAGGGACAGAGAGCCTGCTTGCTTTGCTCCTTTAAAGCAAGCAGGCTCTCTGTCCCTCTCTCCTCCCCACTCAGCGGCTCTTCTCCCGCTTTGCTGTTTCAGAGCGAGCCACAGAGGAGGGAAGGAAGGGGAATCATGGATCCTCTGCTCACAACTGCAGCAGATCCCCCCGCCATCCGTAGGCATTCGCTCCATAACACGCACAGACATTTCCCCTTACTTTCTAGGAGGAAAAAAGTGAGTGTTATGGTGCAAAAAATATGGTAATTTGTAGCAATTTCTCCCACACGTTTACTCTACTGGCTGCCCACACAACCCTTGGGAGTTATTTGTCTCAGACTCCTGGAATAAAGACAGGTGGGACTGAACTCACAGATATTGACCCTAAAAATATTGATCTGATTCCTTTTCACTTTGACAGGCCTTTGTTCTTCTAGTAACTAGATTTAGCAATGTTTTTACCTTTTGAATGTTGATTTGTCAGCCCCCCTATGTATTTTGGTGAGATTCAAAAGGATTCAGATGGAAGTACAATACTGTTAAGTTGTGGGTGAACATATCAGACGACACTGTGATTCTTCAAACAGCTCTTGTTTATTCACAGGCCAGAACAGAACTGAACTGAAGGGTTCAGCCAGCCTGCTTATATAGAGCTCCACTAGAACTCAACAGTAACCATTTTCTGTAACTATCCAATCACTGAACGTCACTTTCGATCCCTTATTTGCATATGTGGACCTGAGTGAAAACTATCTACAGTATCCCCCTGCTGCCCAGGGTGAGAACTTCAGTACACAACAAATACTTTGCTTTAGGTAACATGGAAACAGTAAAAAACATTAGTAACAACGACCTTCCTAGAAGAAAAAAAAGATAGTTTAGGAATTAGAATGAAAAATGTTAATTGTATGTCTGATTTAGCAACACTAGTGCAGAACAAAGAATAAAATGCAAAGACTACCTTAGGCAAGGAATTGTTTGTAGAAAATAAATTTAGAACAGTGTGTTATTACAAATGCTGTAAAGGCATCTATTTAATTTTACCACAGGGCCTTCCAGATGTTGTTTTCCTTGTGCATTCCTGATTATTTGTGCTCAAAACCCTTATTGGGGATGCCGCTTCCAATACTGTTTTTTCCTGAAAATGTTTGGGGACGATTGCACTATTTCCTTTCCCGTCTGTGAATATCCCACAACTTTCTGCTCAAGTCCTGTGGTTTTTATTTATTTATTAAAACACAACTTTTTATACCACAGATTCCTCTGGTTTGTCTTGCTTTTGTTTTTGTTTTTTTTAAAATGATATTTATTGAGAATTTTAAGGTTACCAAGAAAAAAGGAAAAAACGAGAAAAAGAGAAAAAAAAGAAAAAAGTAGATAAAAGTAACAATTAAACAATACAAATTAGTAAAAACCAAAGTCAAAAAGAAAAAGCAAAACACACAATACATCAAAATCAAAAAGCAAAAATAAACAAAAAATTTAAAAGCAAATCCAATATTTCCAGATCCTTAACTGTCATTAACTTATTTCATCGACCTCCTCACACCTCCCTTTTTTTTATTCTAGTTGTTAATTATCTCAGCAAATCCTTTCCATCTTTCATAATGTTCTGTCATTAAATTTCCTTAATCTATTTTAACCTTATCTTACCATAAAAAACCCTAAAACTTAAAACTTAAATCTTATTTATACCAAATTCTCTTAACCATAACATATTCTTACATAATTCTTTTTAACATTTCTGCTAAAGCCAAATAATTTCATTCCAACATTTTTCTAATACTCATTAATTTTAAAATACTTTTAAATATAAATTTTTAAAACTTTCTTCCAATTTTCATCCATCATCTCTTCTTCCTGGTCTCGGGTTTTGTCAGTCCTTTCTATCCCATCCATCTAGTCCATCAACCTGGTGACCTTATATCCGAGGCTCTTAAGTCTCTTCCATGTCCCTTCCGCAGGTCTTCTTCATGTTTATACCTGTACTTTACTTTGTCTTCTACTCCTTTCACTCGGGGAGACTCCAGCTTGACAATATTTTTGTCCCTTCTCGACAAGTCAGCCCCTTTTCCATAGTCAACGCTGAAATCCATGTGATATTTAAAGGCATGTTTCAAGGTCCCTCCAAAGTTAAAGGCCCCCACAACTCCGAGCTCCCCCCGGCCCAAAGCCAGACTTGAAGGGTCAAAACATTCCTGCATAGGGGGGTCTATCCAGCCCCCCATCTCCAAGCCAAGCTGGACTCCATCTCTCCAAATCTGACTTTTTCCAGGGTCGTTCATCAAATCCAACAACTCATGTTCCTGCTGGGCCACAGCTCCCTCCATCTCTGCCACCCAAGGTCCAGCAACAACCTCCTCCCTCATCTGATCTGTCAAAACACATTCCTGGATTAATTCCTGAGTGGGTTCTATATAGGTACCCACTGCCTGTCCAAAATTTCCAATCGCAACAGTCATCAAATCCATCTTCTCATGTAACTGTTCCAATAAAGCACTTGTCTTGCAAAGGCAAGCACCAGAGCCTCCGAGCACATTCTTGTTCAAGGTCGAAGTCTGGTCCCACGATCTTAATCTATTACAGCTGCAAAGCTCCCCAGTTCGTCTTTAATAACAGTTTCACAAGCTCCCTCTAGGGGAAACAATTTCTATTTTTATCCATCTTTTTTAAAAAAACAACAGATCTAGCAACAAAGTTTTCCTTTTTCGGATATTTTGTCAATATTTTGTTCCTTTTAAATGTGAAGGGGAACAATCGAATCAATATGTTTCTCTTCTTTTAACTATCTGTCAAAAACGTTTGTACATAGTCAATGAACTTCCCCAAAACGTCTGACCTGACATCCCGCTCCCAGGTTCAAGGCAGTGGAAAACTACCTTCCTTTACTCTCTCTTCTGCAGGTTTAAACAGTCTAAAAAAGGTTCCCCCCTCTTCTCCTGCTTCCAAGGGGGGTTCAGTAATTTTAAATGATGAAAATTTGATCCTTTACAGACGACTTTCTAAACTCTAGCTTGCCGTGTCTTTGCTTCAATCTATCTACAAAAGCGGAAGGCGGACTTCCTGTTTAGACCTTCCCACTTCAGTGCCAAATTAAAAAGTTTCTTAATCCAATTTTCCGTTCTACTCACGGCCAGTTGTTTAAAATCCAATTGTCCACAGGAAAAAGTCAGTGCTCTCCGGCAACAGCAATGCGGCTTCACTCCGTGAAAGAAGCAGTCGATTCAAAGCACCGCGCCACTCACCCCACGTCGCTCCGGATCCCCAAAACCGGGTTTCCCCGCGAGTAGGGGGGGCGCAAAGGTGCCAGCCGAATCCCACATCCACAGGCTTCTCCCTGTGGTTTTTGATGGGTCTCCGCCTCGCCGTGGCGGTTCAGACCCTGTTTTCCACGGAGCGGATTCCTCCCGATCGGAGGAAATCCGCCATTGCCAGAGGCGCCAACCCGGAAGTCCTGGGTTTGTCTTGCTTTTGTTGCACTGCAGTCCCGTCCCCCCCCCCCACCGCCCCCAGGCAGCAATAATGTGATAGCATTGGGAAAGCATTGCAAAATAACTAAATGAAGCAGAGAAAATGCTCCACTAAGGCACCACTATTGTCTCAAAAATTACGTTGCAGAATATGCCCTCAATAAAACACCAGACTAGAGGGGCCCTGTGTGTGTTTTGTCACGAGAATGAATGTTGAGACTATGCACCCAAAGTGAGGACAAGTTCCATCAGCAGCTGTGGTAAGATTCTGCAATGAAGACTGCACACTTTAAAATTACTTTCTGCTTTGCTGTGTTTTTATTCTCCTGCTATGACATCTTACAGAGAAGAAGAGAAGAAGAAGAGTTTGGGTTTGATATCCCGCCTTTCACTCCCTTTGAGGAGTCTCAAAGCGGCTCACAATCTCCTTTCCCTTCCTCCCCCACAACAAACACTCTGTGAGGTGAGTGGGGCTGAGAGACTTCAAAGAAGTGTGACTGGCCCAAGGTCACCCAGCAGCTGCATGTGGAGGAGCAGAGACGCGGACCCGGTTCCCCAGATTAGGAGACTACCGCTCTTAACCACTACACCACAGATTCTGTAATGAAGACTGCACACTTTAAAATTACTTTCTGCTTTGCTGTGTTTTTATTCTCCTGCTATGACATCTTACAGAGCAATACTAACACACCCCAAATGGCCATGGGGCATGGGCAGGATGGTCCACAATTGCCTCTCCGCCAACCTCTGTCACCAGAGAGGTGAACCTCTGATTCAGGCAGTAGTTTTGCTGTGGCAGGGGCTCCTGCTCCACACAAGCAGGCAGTAAGGTACCACTGTGGACAGCCGGAGGAAAGCCCCAAAATTATTATTTCAGGGTGGGGCACTAGGAGCTTAGAATCCACTGGATCCAAAGCCCCATAGATCTCCCAAGTGGCCCAAACATTAATAATAATAATAATACCTTTATTGTCATTGTACAACCTGTGTACAATGAGAGCTGGACCATAAAGAAGGCTGATCGCCGAAGAATTGATGCTTTTGAACTGTGGTGCTGGAGGAGACTCTTGAGAGTCCCATGGACTGCAAGAAGATCAAACGTATCCATTCTTAAGGAAATCAGCCCTGAGTGCTCACTGGAAGGACAGATCGTGAAGCTGAGGCTCCAATACTTTGGCCACCTAATGAGAAGAGAAGACTCCCTGGAAAAGACCCTGATGTTGGGAAAGATGGAGGGCACAAGAAGAAGGGGATGACAGTGTTGGTTTCTATTTCCTTCACTGTGCAGCAACTGCAGTCATGAGACATTGTTTTGCATTCCACAGTCTGTACTGTTGGAGTTTCTCACGGGAAAGGGAGACTGGATGTGACGTACACTGGTTTCCTGTTTTTTCACTGTGTGATTCTCTCCAAGCTGTCGAGGAGAGAGGATGCATTTTCTGCTCTTGCAGAGGCAAGATGTCTTTCTGTAATATACCAGCTTTGAACTGTAAATAAAGCAATATAGAGTATGTAACACATTTTCCTCATCCTTCCGCTGGGCACGAAAGGACTCTGCTTTAAATCAACACGTGGTTATGGACTCCAGAGGTCGAAT